GTTTCCTATCATAACTGTGCTCCGATTTTTTCCGTTCCTGTTCCTTAGAGGTGCAAAACTATCCAATATATTTGTTTCTATCCAATATATTTGTTTTTCACCTAAAAATTTTACAATTTGCAATTAGATAGTGAGCACTATTGCATTTACAGCTGCCGGCTTCATCGCACTAGAGGGTTCATGTCGTAATATTCGCTGTGCTCTTGTTGTGGATTGTGGTTTCTCTTGCGTCACCGTGGCTCCGTTCCTAGATGGGAAAGCTATCCAACAGGGGATCGTACGGTAATTTTCTTTTAATACCCATTCCCACGTTCCATTGTTCCATCCATTGCATCCCCTGTGTTTTCTTTCAGAATTGATGTTGGTGGAAAAGTACTGACAAACCAATTGAAAGAATGGATAACGTATCGTGATTTAAATGTTCTCGAAGAGACATATATAATGAATCAATGCAAGGAAGATGCTTGTTTCGTCTCATCGGATTTTAATAGTGATATGAAGATTGCAAGGTGAATGCTTGTTTTAGTCTCGTGTTATGAATTGTCTCTTTCGCATTGCAAGAAAACGGATTTCATGTCTCTTCAATACCCTAGGGCAAAGCGTCCATTGACGAAACCTCGGCGTGTGTGATCGCTTTGTTTCTGTTCGCAAATAGTTCATTCAGTGAGGTTATTTAGAAGGAACTATTCGCACATGTAGGGCAGGTGTAAAGATTTTTTTCACAAAGGATTCCAAAGCAATTTAGACATTTTATACCTTTGCTGTTGTACATTTTGTATACTGGTTGGCGGGATTTCTGGAGGAATTTTGAGATTGGAAGGAAATTGGAGAGATACAGGATCTGACGGAGTGGGCATCGTCTTGGGAGGGGGCTTATTTGAAGAAATCATTCGCAGTGTTTGACCCCTGTTCGAAGTGAATGTTCCTTCTGTATTACAAATGTGGAGGAATTTTCCAGGAGAGGCTAGGCATGCAGTTGTATGACCGCAGATGTACTTAGTAGTAGGTAGGTAGTAGTACTTAGGTAGTAAATAAATAAGGCGATGTTGTCAACTTGGCTAAGAATGCACATTTTCCACACAGAAAGTGATATTTATGCATGCGGAAGTTCCCATTACTAAAAAATTCCTTAGAGCAGAGTGGTCATGGTGGTTCTTCGCAAGTAATCAAATAGGCGTAGTTGGAGCGTAATGGACGTAGAGTGCACATTGCCCACTGTCTACGAAATCTTTAACTTCAGAGTGTCTCTAATACCTTTATTTTGTTGTCCATCGGTTCGTAATCGTTAAGATTTTGAGCTTTTTAACCAAGCATATTTTTGATTTTTTAGGCGGTTAAACTGAATTCAAGGAGCAAAATGACTACACTATTTGTCCAGAATCGCTCTTTGGAAAGCATTACCACCTTTTTGGTCATTTTTGGTACTAAATAGTCTAGGGATTCATCCAAGAATCTAACGCAGTGAATCTTTACTTGTGAATCTTTACTTCTATCAACTAATTTGGATGGATCGAACTGAGTTTCCTATGTAATTATGAATTGTAAGGAGTTGTCGAGCTCTCGGATCTTTCATGTATAGCCAAATCACTTAATAGTTTTTACCTTTCAGATATCGCGATGGTCGCAATACGATACGTCGTGAGTACGTCTTGCCGGATTTTTGTCGGCTGTTTCGTGGTTATCTGAGGGAACCGTCGACAGTGGGGAAGTTTTCTTTGCCAGAGGATTCGCCACAGCACATCACTATAAATCGGGAACGCTTTGCTCTACCCGAGATTCTTTTCCAGTTAGTTCTTGTACAGAAGGCTTGTTCAGGCTTTCGCCATTAGTGGTGTAGTTTCTTCTGTGGAGGTTTCTCAATAATGCGTTTTTAGTCCATCAGATATCGGGCTTAATCAAATGGGTGTCGTGGAAGCTGTCGTTGAGTCATTGTCGCGATGTCCAGTGAATTTGCGGCCAGCACTGGTGCAGAACATCTCTCTCGTAGGAGGATGCACCCTCTTCCCCGGATTCCGTGATAGATTGTAAGAATTTCATGTCTTTGTTCGGGATGTTATTTCTTCCTCTTTCTCAGGATGGTAGCGTTTTTGCTAAAATGGTCAGCGTCTGGTCAAAAGGAAAAGATAAACCTATCATGTAGTTACTCTTTTTTGATTTTGTTATAATGTTTTACAGCATATCTGAACTCCGTTCTTACATGGATGTGGACTGGTGCGTAGCTCTAGCTGATGTCACGAATCCTATTACTCACGCGTGGTCGTGCGCTTCCGCAGCGTTTTCGGGTGACATGGCTGAAGAGGACCAACTTTTTGTCACTCGAGAGGAATGGAACGAACATGGCGAAGAGATATTGCATAAGAAGTTTCTGAATTTTTTGGATTTTGATTCGGAGGAGGCTGATGAAGCATCAGATGAAGCCGCTGAATAATCTCTGCACACTTTTTGAAGAAATTTCCTCGTATTATTTGTTACGATTGCTTGTGATTTTTTGGTCGTTTGTTGTTTTTTGTGTATTTGAGACTGCTGGAAATTTTTTAAGATTTTTTCATGCACATCTTGCGTGAAGTTATGTTGAAAAGCTTGTTGATCTCATTTTTAAGCTGCCTTGCTGTTGTACAGTGCTGCTATGCGTGTAGAATTACACTGGTAAATATTTCTTTCACATCGTTATGTTACGGGTTTCAACCCTTTATTATCTTGAAGCCTTGTTCATCGTGTGCTCTGGTTCAGGCCACTGTAAAATCACAATTTCAGGTTAACATTTTCAGTTTGGTGGGTAAAGTGATCTCTGCTCATCATGTCTGCTGGGCCAATTGTTGAACGTAATCAAGGTAAGCACTTTTCAATCGAGGACAATGTTTTAGTGTAGAGGCAATTATTTTCTGGGGACCAATTGATATTACAATTCTTGATGTTTGTTTATATTTGTGGCTTCTTTACTCGCTTCCCGATAATTTTTAGATGCTACTATTTATGTCGGAGGACTCGACGAAAAAGTTACTGAGAATGTTCTTTGGGAGCTGATGGTTCAGGCCGGTCCTGTAACAAGTGTAAATATGCCCAAGGATCGTGTGACAGCAAATCATCAAGGGTTTGTGATAGTTTTCACGTCGGTAGATTCTGAAAATATGAATCGTCTTTCGAACTAGTAAGGTTTTCTGAAGTATGGGTAGCATACGCTAGATTTCGAGAGTGCAGGGGTATGTTTTTTTTTCGAAAGCTCTAAAGCAAGCATCTACTCTTTGTCTCTGTGGCTAGCGATTTCCACTAAAAATCGTCCCACGGAAATGACCATCTGAACTTAATTCCCTATTGAAGGCAAAAAGCTTCCTCTGTAACTTGAGCGACTTTGATTTGGCGTATTCCTGATTTGTTCAACTTTTAGATTTGGTTTTGTGGAATTTGTGGGCGAGGAGGATGCAGACTACGCAATTAAGATCCTCAATATGATAAAGCTGTACGGAAAACCTATCAAAGTGAGTGAGAGAATTCTCTCCTATCTTCCGATGTTTTGTTCAATATGGGCAGAGTTGGTCATTTTGTGCACCCTTTTTTGCTTTTGTTACACTTGTGAATGAAGAGACTTTCCTTTTGTTTTAATTTGGATTTGACTTTTCTCCTTGAAAGGTTATGTTTAGGTGAATAAAGCGAGTGCTCATGAGAAAAATATGGATGTTGGTGCCAACATTTTTGTTGGAAATCTTGATTCAGAGGTATTGTTTAGTAGTTCCTTTCTTTCGATCCATTGCTTATAAAGTTCATATTTTAGGTCGATGAAAAGCTTCTTTACGATACCTTCAGTGCATTCGGTGTTATTCTACAAGTGAGTTTATTTTTTGTGACAAAACTAGGTCCATTCGGTGACCATCGAGCATTGATGTATCATTTGAAAAAAATTTAGGTTCCTAAAATTATGCGTGATCCGGAAACAGGCAACAGTAAAGGGTTTGCCTTCATTAATTTCGCGTCATTCGAAGCTTCCGATATGGCAATGGAGGCCATGAATGGGCAATTCCTTTGCAATAGGTATGTGCTTTAATGGCTCCGTTAGCACCGCACAACCCTCTTTCTTCCTTAACTGCTATATTTTTGCAGGGCAATTTCTGTTTCTTATGCTTTCAAAAAGGATGCAAAAGGCGAACGACACGGTACAGCGGCAGAGCGAATGTTGGCTGCTCAGAATCCGCTGTTTCCCAAAAGATCGTCCAAACCAGGTGCGTCACTGGTGTCTCGCTAAGAAAGTATGTTGTGATCCTCTCATTTTCTCTCTTTCAGATGTTCTCGGATGCTCCTGGTCGCCTCCCATTCCCTCCACCGATGCCTGGAATGCCTCCTATGCCGCCTCCATTGCCTATGGGCATGGCTTTCCCTCCGCCGCCACCGACAGCTACACC